AGCTGGCAGAGGGGAGATTCAGACTAGACATCAGGAGGCGCGACTTCACGGTCAGGGCGGCTAGGATCTGGAACCAACTTCCAAGAGAAGTGGTGCTGGCCCCTACCTTGCGGGTCTTTAAGACAAGGCTAGACAAACACCTTGCCGGGGTCATTTCAACCCAGTGCTCTTTCCTGCCATGGCAGGGGGTCGGACTTGATGAACTGCTCAGGTCCCTTCCGACCCGACCAACTATGAAACTATGAAATTATGAACCACAACATTTTGAACAACAATAATTTATCTGGAAGGACCTGTTCCTCCATCACCTAGGTGGGGGTCTCTGTGCACAGATTTACAAAATCAACCCAGGAAGACCCAGCCCCTGCTTACATCCATGTCATCACAGAAGGTGGAATATTGTCCGTACTGCAGCCGGCACTGGTGGCTAACGTCGTAGAGGACTCCAGGGGGGACTAAGGGGAAGTCAACCACGTCCTTGGCCGGTGGGTCATCCAGACACAGACCCCAGCCCCGGCTGCAAAAGGAAACAGGCATGTCACAATCAAACAGATGTGCATCAACAGATGGCAAGAAGCAAGCAGGTAAAAGAGCCTCTTCTATAACGCTGGAAGAGGTTTTAGAGGAGGAAGTGCCTCGTATCCTTTTACAAGCCCATCAGAGACTGGTGCAATCATTGTTTGCAAACATTTCTAGCAGTGACCGTTCTTCAGGGCTCTTCACATTTTACACACCTGCCTCCTGCCTTCAACATCTGATGTTCTCAGCTCACAAATCATCAGGTGCTGCCCAAACACACTCCAGAGCAGAGGCGGGCAATTATTTTGGATGGAGGGCTGCTTACTGAGTTTTGGCAAACTGGTGAGGGCCGCATTTCCCTCTCCAGCACAGGAAAGAAGGAACAGTCCCATGGGCCCAGGCCAGAAGCCTCTGCTAGGCAGGGGTTTCTGGTTGTAGGGGTAGGGCTGGGCAGGCCTTGCTGCTGGGTCCTGCCACCAGTTTCCTTTGGGCCCTACTGCCTCTGGCTCCTGTCTTTGACAGGCAGCTAGGAGCAAATAAATGTTAATTTTCTACATTTTTTAGGGGCCCTGTGGGCTGGATAGAATGGCCTGGCTGGCCGGATCTGGCCCCTGGGCTGTATTTTGCCCACCCCTGCTCTAGAGCAACACAAAATGTGAGGGGTGGGCTGCCTGACTTGAAGGAAAGAAAAAACAACTGGCCATTTCCCTTCTTTCCCCAAAACAGCTCCCATTTTGGAGCCCAGCTCGAGCTCAGCCCCATGGTTTTGAACGTGCCCTCATTTCCCACTGGCAAAGGCAGTTCCCAAATGTTGCCATTGGCATGGGAGATCCAAGGAGGACCCAAAATGTTGGGTTGCAAGGTCTCCGGAGGGCACCACCACTCACAGGCTTTCCCAGGTCACATAGATTCATAGATTCATAGATTCATAGATTAAGGGTCGGAAGGGACCTAGTAGATCTTCTAGCCCGACATCTGCAGACTCCCCAGACCTGGGGTGTGTATATGACTCAATTTAATCCATGAAGTTAGAGTTACTTATGCCAAACTGGAATAAGGCCCAAGGCACTTGGACAAGCTCCCAATAAACCTCCAGGCTTCATGGAGTGTAAGACTGAGCTAGGGGGGTTGCAAGGTTTACCAGCACTTACTGTTTACCCCCAGTGCACGTCCTGTAATATCCTGCCCAGTCAAATGAGACCTACCCCTGCTAGCATCTTCACCTGGTTCCCTTTCTCCCTGTGCCATATATCAGAGTATTGCACCTCTATAGCCCATTCCAGGGCACAAGACACCATCATCTGAAACACAGCCAATGAGTTTTTCCCATTCCCAGCTGAATCATCTCTGCCATGAAACATCGACTTGAGAAGTAAAACTGGCCCATGTGTGGGTCTCAGCCAGTCTAACTGGATGAGACCTCCAGCCGGCACCCAGGCACATCATCCCTATGCTGAGCTGAGCAAGACCCCAGGGGAGAGTGATAGTGTCTCGTGCTGTCTTGCCCGGGGGAAAAAGTCTGTTATCAAACTAGATGTCCCAGTGAGAGTCGGCCAGGTTTTCTATCACAGCAGGATAATTCAAGGAGAGCATCTGAACCTCAGGCCCCATCCTTATGCCTAGAAGGGCCCCACACTTGTCCCCTCTACTCTGTTCGCCAGACCTGCTCCTTTAGACTTTATCAGGAGACAGAACTAACTATGAAACTATAAGAATTGATGCCCTCAGTCTGCCCTGTAAATTTTTTCCCTGCAAGAATGTATTGAAGAACAGGGCTCTTGACTTGATTCCTCTTCAGAGGAGACACCTTTTAACCTGGTTGCATTATGTCTTTGCACTCGATGCTGCTGAAGCAGTCGGTCACTCCTTATTCGAAAGCTCTCACATGTCCTTTTACAGCATCTGATGAAGAGGACTTCAGCTCAGAAAAACTCAAGCTTACACACACACACACACACACACACACACACACATGCATGCACATGCATGCATCGTGCACTCACACACTTTGGTAAGTTTATAAGGTGCAAATTTATTCCTTAACTCATGAAATCAAGGGGCCTCTATGCAGTCGAACAATGTGTTTGTTAGGAGAAGCAAACCATGGATCATCTCCTGAGATGCCCTGTAGCACTGCAACGCGCCCCACAAGATCTGGCAACACCAACACCAGAACCAGTGGCCTGTGCAGGATATTGGGAACTGACCATATAGAAAGGCTGGACTGGAGACATGACAAAGAAGACTCCTTAACTCAGGAAACCCAGCCCCATCCCAGTCACTGAGCGGTATCTCTTCTGGCCTCTTTCACGGGAAGGTTTCTGAGAAGAGTCATTGCAGTGCGCCGGCTGCTCTAAGTCAGTGAAGAGGTAAAAGCTCACAGGCTCCTTCTTATCACCACTCTGACCAGAGCAAGGGCTCGTGTCAAGAGCTGCAGAATCATTTCAGCTACAGCCACGGTCCTTCATCTTTCCTGGACACAGAGCAACAATATTGAGCAAGTACCATACTGCTGGCAGCATCAGAGTTTGCTCTTCCTGCTCACCTGCAGGAACCTGTGCGGGTAGAAAGCAATTTTTCCTAAGGATGAAAGGAACATTGTAGGATCTCACAAGCTTCCTCTGTAGCAGGTTTGTGGCCCTCCGCCTGGGATCTCTTGAGCACAACCTTTTACAGAAGCAGGCTGTTGGTTGCTGTGGTCCCCCTGCTTTCCCTGTGGCAGGTTTGAGTGTGATGTCTAGGTGCCGTCAGGGTTGACAGTAGTCTTACATAGAGTTTAGAAGATGATGGATGTGTCTGGGATGGTTTGGACAGAGCTGAGCCTGTGTCAGGCAGGGGGTTGGATAGACGTGACCTCTGGAGCTCCCTTCCTGCCCTGCTTCTCAGTGATCTTCACTAGGGGTTTTGCCATGGCTATCCCAGCACAGCTGCAGCAGAAGGGGCTCAGTGATGGAGATAAACCCTCTGGCTCATTGCACATCAAGTATATCACAGATGTGAGTATGTGGAAAAAGTCGTATGCTGTGGTATTCCCGTCAGTCTGAGGCATCAGTGTTTATCTTCTCCTTGTTTAAAGCAAATTAAGGAAGTCCAGCTGTGGAGCTGGTGAGGATACCAGTGCATGTCGGAGACCAGTCATAACAGCTGCATATCAAGTTGTGACAATGTTTATGTCCACACAACAGCCAGATATAGACAAAAGCAGCAGCGGTTTGATGAGACGCAGGGAAAAAACCCCAAACAGGTTTCAAAGCAGCCTAGCAGGAGGGGGCATGAGCAAAATATTTTGAAGCCAATGTTTACAGGCCTTCCACAGAAATCCCGACGGATGTTTATGTTAGAATGGATTTTAATTCCAGCAAAAAGACTAAAAGTCAGAGACAAAAAAAGAGGTAAGTAAAATGATCACAGCTGGTTTTTCCTCCTGCCTTGTGCTTTCAAGGTATTGGGGGAGTGATGTAGTCAGATGCATCGGGGTCCTCACTTGGCAACAGATGCAAGTGGGGAGGCAGTTTAAGCATCATGGTGCAGTCTTCTAGGGCAGAGACTCCCAGACCGCTGGTCCTGTGGCCTTTCCAAGCCCACAGAGACCTGGCTGCTCACATAGACATAGAAGCTTAGAAAATGAAGGTTGAAGGGGACCTCAGGAGGTCACATATAGTCCAAACCCCTGCTCCAAGCATCATCCCAGCCAAAGCTTTGTCTACCCAGGTCTTAAACACCTCCAAGGATGGAGATGCTGCCACCGCGCTGGGTAACCCATTCCAGTGCTTCACCACCCTCCTCGTGAGAGAGTTTTTCCTAATATCCAACCTCAATTTGCTGCAGCTTGAGCCCATTGTTCCTTCTATCATCTGCCCCCACAGAGACCAGTCCAGCTCCGTCCTC